AGGTGCTCTAGAAGTATCCAGCTGATTACTGGAGTGTGGAGGCCCAGGGGTCTGCCACCAGGGTGGTCCTACCTCAGCCCTGGAGGGGCAGAGACAAAAGGGGAGAGATGCCCCTCTAGAATACAGTAAGGAAAGGCCTCCCTTCCATGGGCCGTTTGCAACCACATGTTGGTGCCTTTTGGGTTCTGGTGTTCTGATAGTGTGTGGGGATTGATGTCACCCTTGTTCAGCCCGTTTACCATTAATGTACCCTTCCTAGAATGTTCTTCCTTCCCTTAATCCCCACTGGCTCTGTTCTGCTGCATTGTTCCACCCGTTATCGCCTTGGTTCTCTTGGTCTTTTGGCACTTCCCTGCACCCCTTTCCCTTGTCCCTGTTGGACCTTGACCTTCAGATCTGTCACTTTTACCGCTCATTTAACCCTGTGCCCTTAGCCCATTCCTTGGTTCTCGTCCCTATTTGAGGCTGTGCTCTTCAATAAACCAGTTGTCAGATTGCTAAATGAGAACCCATCCCTTTGTCTTAAATCGTCAGCATTTTCTACAGTGTGCTCTGAGCTCAGAGATGCAGGTCGCTCTCTGGGATCTTGTTGCGCCATGTACCGTAACACTGGAGAGCAAAGCACTGCTGTGATGCTGTTTCTCAGCTCACTGCACTGTGCCTTTGTTCTGGGTAACTGATACCCACTGTGCTGAGGGTTTCCATTTTCTTTGGTTTCATCTCTCAGGAGTTTTAGGTATTTCTCACCTAGAACCAAACTTGTTAAGATAATAAGGCATAAATCACCTGGAAGAGAGCTGGGAGAAGAAAATTCAAAGCAAAGCCCTTCGATTACCAAAAAGGAAAACCCAAACAACTCCCACTGATTAAACTCAACAAAAAATACTTATTTGGTTCATTCCAAAGGGAGGAATATGGTTTTAAAAATAGTTCAACCAAATGCCACCTCAAAGTGAATTTGATTCAAAGCTCACTAAAGCCAAACTGGGCCTTTCATCAGATATACCAAATTTTTACCTGTTTTCATTCAGTATGAGGTCTCTTGTCATCTGCAAGCAAGGTTTTATATTTAACTGTGCCCACAGCCCTGGTATAAAGTACCTATCCCAGATACCTAACAACCAGGACACACAATCACTGTCAGAGTGGCCCTTTGATGTGCTGTGCTATTGTTGCTTGCTCTTGTGAACAGCCAGGCACCTTTGTTTCTCACAGGTATTTTGCTTTCTGCCAGGAGAAGTGAATGAACCACTGCAGCTGAGCTGTGAATTACAGCCCCAGAATGAACAAGGGTTCTACACAACAAGAGCACCTGACCTAATCTTCCTTTGTCTCTGTGCTGAGGGAAAGTCAAGGTAAATTCATGTTGAATGTGTAAATTCACTCAGTGGCTGATAAGACCTTTTTTAATGGAGCCAGTACAATGAGTGATGATCCCCACCAATATAGCAATCATTGTGTACAATGTGTGTCATGAAAATGTGTATTTCTGACCCATCTGTGTGACACCAGTGGCTGTGATTCTGTTTGCCTATCCCTGCTCTCAGAGGTGACCTTTAACAAGCAGCAGAGGTTTTGTTTTTAAGAGCCTCTGGTGGAAGCAAAAGAAGTGGGAATGGTGGAGGTCTAGACAGTGAGACAGCAACCAAAGGGACTTCATAAATTTGAAGAATCTAGGCAGAATTTGTGGAGGAACTGTTTGCAGTAACTTTCCCTGCAAACCACTTCTGCTTTTGAAGGGTCTGCTCAAAACCACAGTTTTGGAAGAGACAGGTCATAGATCAGACCTTAGTAAGGACAAGGAAATGAGGCCTTCCCCTCCTCATTAGCTTGAATTTGAAACATTCACTTTGTCCAACATTTCTGCTGCCCTAAGGCACTGTAACCACTGTTCAGGAGAGTAAGCAGGAAAGCTGTGCATGTTGATGTGAGAGCTTTTCTTTGGAAATGGCTAAGAAGATTGGGCTGGAATCCTCCACTCCTCTCCCAGGTGGTGCATGGTGATTAGTTCAAAGTTCATACTAAACAGGGTCTGAATGTACATAGGCTGATTTTTTTAAGAAAACTTGTCATTTTAGAAAGAGTTATTCTCTGTCCACATGGAGACACAAGATGCCCAGTGCAAGCAGCACAGAATGCAAGTCTGCACACTGTTCCTCAGCCCATGGCAAGTGTCCTGGGTGTTTTTTGTGTGGCAAGGCAGGAGCAGCTCACAGCAGTTTTGGGTTGCTGTTCAGTCGGAGGCTGGAGTACATCCCCACGTGCCGCACCAGGTTGGGCTCCACCACAAAGGCGTTCTCGCCCTTGCCCCGCAGCAGCGAGTAGAGGGCAGTGTCCTTGGCGAAGCCCTGGCGGCAGCGCAGCCCCTGCAGGTATTCTGAGGCCCGGCGGGCAGAGGCAGCAGGGAAGAGCATGGCGGGCGTGCAGCACTCACTGGCTGGCACCACGTTGTAGAGTGCGGGGTGCAGACGGCGCAGCTCCAGCCCATAGTGCCGCCCCACCAGCTCTGACAGGGCCATGCTGTACAGGCCGAAGAACACCACCAGGCACCAGCTGGGGCCCGCTCGCCCTGCGGCCCAGCAGTATGCAAAGGTCAGCACCGGCCCCAGAAACATGCCCAGGCCCAGCCACTCCAGAATCCTCATGGGCTCAGGGTTGAAGTAGTGCTGGAGCCTCTCAGGATGGTACGGCTTGAAGTAGAGAGCGTCTCTGAGGTAGGGCTTGGAGAATCAGGCCGAGGAGAGGTGCTGCAAGACAGAAAATATCTCCTTCTCTGGCACAGCATCACCTTCCATGAGGAGGATGTACTCTGGGTTGTACACCAAGAGTGACTATTCAAGGCAGAAGAGGTAGTCCTGCTTCTCCTTCTCAAACTGGTTGAGGCTGGGGTCAGGATTCTCTCCAGTTCTGTCAGGACTGACCATAGGAAAGAGGCTGCTCAGCAGCCTGACATCCTGATGGATGCTGGGGTCTGACTCTACATTACAGAGGAGCATGCGGTGGCTCTGGCAACGCACCCCACATTTCTGGAGGAGGCGGTGGAAGTGGGAGGCCACTTGCAAGACGTAGTGGAAATCATTCCGCCTCTGCACGGTGATAATGGTGATCAGCAGCAAGGGCTGGAAGGCTTCACTGCCAGACACCTCAGAGGCATTTGGCATCTGCATCTTCTCAAAATAATGGAGGGCATCCTGGCCCTCCTGCTGGTTCTGCTCCAGGAACTCCTGGCTCATGGGGTACAGGTGCCAGCGCCGCAGGTAGAAGTAAGAGTGGAGGAGCCGGTGGCATATCAAAGGTGCCACCACAGCAAAAGTCACCAGAGTCAGGGTGAGGAGATGGATGAAAGGGCTGGACCAATGGCACCACTTCCCACAGAGCTGCCATGCTCGGTTTAACATAACTGCTGCAGAAGGAGGGCACTCCTGCACTGCTCATGGCCTCAATCCTTCACTTCAATGCGTCCCTCTCTCTGGACTGCAGGATACCACTGGGGCCATTGCTGCCAAACCTGCACAGGTTTTGCAAGCCTAGAAAGGAAGAAAAAAGGATGGTTACTGAAATAGGAACTGACAGAGAAAACTGAAATCAAGGGACTAGTCTCTGAGTAAGCTAACATACAAGGCCTCTGTGCAATCCCTTGAGGTGGAGGTATCACAGAATAGTCCTGGGAGGTTGAAGACAGATGAGCCAAACTTAGCTTCCAGCAAAGGACCCCTGAGGCCTTTTTAGCACACAGGAGCTCCGATATAACCCAGCTCAAAAGGACTTTGTGTGTTTGTTATTGTGCTTCAAACATACAACAACATGCAAGGTGGATGTAGGATGTGTGGAAATCCCGTTCTGTTAAAGGTACAGAACTTAGGTACCCCTGTATGGTGACACTGACATAGTAATGTTTAGATCACAGCCACGAAGCAAAGCCAGATCTCTTGTATCCTAGTCTAGCATGTACTGGAGAGACAAACTTTTACCTTTTTGGAGGCACATACTTCCCTCCTACTGCTCACACACTTCCAAATGTGTGTTTTTTCACTCTCCTCCCCACAGTGTGAAGCCATTTAACAAAGACACCAATTTATTCACTGAGGGCTTGTGTATGCTAAGGGTAATGTGTGTGTCTATCTGTTTCTCCTCCTCACTAGACCCTGTGAAACACATGGGCAACGCATTATGGACATGTTGTAATTGAGCCATTGACTCATGTTTCGTATTTAAAAGTATGCAATTTATAATACACGCCTTCAATTTTAAACAGACATATTCACATATATTTTTTTTTGTATACACATTCACTTTAAGCAAACATCCACCTTCACAAAAGTTAGATTTTGCCCTAACTGCTTCTCTTGCTGCCCTGAACACCTCACAGCCTAACAGGGCAGTTAGGCTGGTCAAATGAATTCTCTTATGCCAATAGTCTCACTTTTAATCTGTAATTTCATTCTCCCTTTAATTTCCTATTCCCTCTCCCTAAGAACTGAGTTACTCATGTTCCCCTCACTGAGGTGACTGAATGTGCACTGGGTGTTCAGTGCAGAGTTTCTCCCTATTTTTAACCTTCTAGCTTCAGCAAGTTCTGATCATCAAATGGTGGTTCCAGACCAAAATGATATTGTTTTGTCCTTTTCTGCACCATCACCTGAAGCAGCCTTCAGTGAAATACCCTCTGAGTGTGGAGGCTCCAGAGCCAAGGGCAGTAATGGTGTGGAAGAAGGCCTCTAATGTATGAAGTCAAAGCATAGAGAGAAGATTTTCCCCCATATAAGAACACAAGGAAAAAATCTTTTCTGATAGTTCTTTGTATCACCAGTTCACTGTACCACAGTTATACCCAGTTGGCCTGCAGGCTGTCCCTCCCCTTTTTTACCTTCTATGTCCTTCCCCTAGAAAGTTCTCCTTTCCCTGTTCCCCCGTTGGCCCCAGTTTCCTGCAATCCTCCACCCCTGTAATCCCATTGGTTCTCCCTGACCCTGCCCATGCACCACTTTACCCTGTTCCTATTGGACCCTGACCCTTGGATCCACCCCCTCAAACCCATATATATCCCTGGACCCGCCATTGTTCCATGTCATTGTTCCTGGACCCCCGTCGGTGTGTGGCTGCAGTGAACCTGCCCCCCTGGAACTCAACACAAAGATCCTTCCTGGCTCTCTGCTGTGGTGTGTTTGTGAGTGATGGTGTGTGTGAGTGTGTGATTGCGGCCTGCCCAGACACCTTCCCACCTGGAGGCCCTTTGGGGAAGGTAGAGTCACCTTACCATCACCACCCAACGCTACAGCTGGGTGAATGGAAGAAATCATGGCTCTTCTCCAACGTCTCAGAAAAATGGGTCTTGCACAATAAAATAATTGGAGGACATGGAGCAAGGTGTGGGAACAACAGTTTCCCAATAAAAAAATTTCTCAATTTCCACAATAAAAAAATCTCTTATTTGACCAACAGTGGTCAAATAAGAGATTTTCAGGCTTCAGGCACTAGCCTGTGTGAAAGTCAAGTACACAACTTCCTCCCTCTGGCACGGGAAATCATGAGGAGTCCAAGCAATCCTTGGAAGGTGAAAAACCATTAGTAGGTGGTGTTTTTCTAACTTGTTATTTACTTGCAAATAATGGTCAAGGGATGTTGTTCTAAATGACCAATCATATTAATTGTACCAAAGTGCTGTGTAAAAGGAGTGTGTTTCTAATAAACCTTTGCTATGTGCCTTCTGCTGAAGGCTCGGAGTCTCGCATCATTATTTTGCCATCCCAAATTGGGATAGCAAAGTCTGGCTCTGGGGATACTTCAGAACTGCCTTCTTTTACAGAGGTCACAGATTTGCTGTTTTTACCATTAGGAGAACCTTTTGCACTTCCCATATGAGAATGTGACAACCATCTATGAAAGGCCTTTTAACAAGATTAATGCAAAATATATAAGAATTACTGCAAATATTTGTTAGAGAACAGGCAGCTCATGCTGTGAGATCTCAAACCATCCTTAGACAGACTGTGGCATCAGTGCTCTCTTAAGGCTCAAGACAAGATTTAGTGTAATTAAATTGAGAACAGATTTAAATGCTGATGCACGAGAATCTGAAGTTTCTCCCTATATAGCTTTGTTTTCCTGTCTAGTTACATAATCCTGTTGCACAAATGCTGCATTGAATTGCGTGAGTGAACCTTGTAAAGGTCTTAAGGATGATGGATGCATTTCAGCTGCTAGATCCAAATCCTGAGGATTCAGGATGTGAAGACCTGAAATCTACCAGCACAAAGATCTAAATTTGAATGCATTTATTCATCCAAAATCCTGGGCCTTCCAGCTATCCTGTCACAAGCATTAAGAGAACACAAACATGCAGAACCATATTGTACAGCTCACACTATTGAGCCTTGTCTTGATTCAAGCATCACTGTGGGCACTGTCTCTGAGCCAGCCTCCAAACTTTAAAGTGAGGACCAGAGTGGGAAAAGGAAAACTGCAAGGTAGTTCAGTTCTATAAATAAAGTTTACTTTCCATCTTCCAGCTATGCTGAAGCTCTGAGCTACAAAACCTATGAGCTGGCAATGAGATCTTGGGATATATATACTGAAGCACAAGTAGTAACTCTTTGAGCATTTCTTCATTGATAATTCTTGGAGCAACCTGGTCTAGTGAGTAGTATCAGGCAGCAGGGCTGGAACTAGCTGTTTTTTAAGGTCCCTTGCAATTCAAACCATCCTATGATTCTATGATGATAATGCTCACCCCAGGAAAAGACCTCCTTCCCTCACACCATCTTCTACTGAAGAGGGAAAAGTGGTTGTCCTGTCCTCCCTAGTGGCCAGCAGAAGATGAGATAAATCAAGCAAGTTCTACTTGACATCTTGCTCTTCTGCAACCCGTGTTGTTCAAGGCTCATGTCCCAGGTCCCTGCAGGTGGACTCACACTGAGTCCAAAGCCTGAGAGTGCTGGGAAAGTGGTGTGGGGACTCCACCTGCTGGTGTCCCAGCTCCCAGCTCGGGGCACAGATGATGAGGTGGTACAGGTGAGCACCACCCTCTCTGGAGGTACCTCCTGGCTCCAGCTTCCCCTGGAAAAGCATGCAGGGCTGGAAGCTACCCATGCAGGTCACTGTGTCATAATTCCAAGTGTTATCATTTAACCTTGGCTTCACTTCACCAGTAACAGAATTCAAGATCTTAGAGCTCTTATTCTGGCTCTGCAACTCAGAGAGCCCCAACAAAACAGCAATCACACACAGAGACTACTGCTACTCTTCACATCTTCCTTTGCTCCCTGAGCTGTTCACACTCACGCTGACAGTCACTCTGTCACACTGTCTGCTGAGAAAAAGGCTGTTTTCACTGGGCAGTGAAATAACCACAGAGGCTAAAAATGGTCAGGAGTGTAGTAAAGCTCAAATACTGCAATTAATGTGAAAAACAAGCTGAAGAATTTAGAAGAGAAGGAAGAGACTGACCTCCTTCCCACCTTTTGTCTGTAACACTGGGAACCTGAGAGCTCAAAATATGGATTTAAAAATTCTTACTTCTGCAGAGTTGAAGCTTGCTCTGCAGGATTTGAATCCAGAGTTTCTGCTAAGGCTGTTTTCTAGCCATTAGGATGGTTCAGATTTCAGAGGAGACACTGTTTTTTTCATTTTTTCCCTTTTTAGGGGGAAAAATACCTTGTTTGTTTTTCAAGCAAGTGGCATTTCAGACAGAAAAAAAAAGTCTGAAGAGAAAAGCAAGAATCAGATTTGGATTTTATAATGCCTTAAAAAAAACCACTTTATTAAACCTGAAAAATAACTACTTTGCAGCCATATAAATACTTGCAGTGGAGGCCAGGTTTACATGTTCTTTGTAGAACTGAGCCATTGCTTAAAGACAACTAGAAGGTGATGTAAAACTGTAGATTTGGCTTGTTTCTTTTCTTAGGTTTTCATGATGAAGATTCCTTCCACAAACACTTAATTCCAAACGTGTATCATATCTTCATTAGTCCCCTAATTACTTGGCTGAATTACACTGTTCAGGAAAAATCATCTCTTTGCACACTGAGGAGAGTAGAAAAATAAGTAATGTACTCTTTGGGGTGCAGAGCACTGTCTGCTGTGCTTGTGCTTTAAAAGAGAAAGCTGATTTTCTGTCTGCTTTCAACTCCTCTCCACAGAGAGGTGCTCCTGTAAAAAAGCTTCCTATATGTTTCAAAGCTGCAAATTTTAAGTTCCTGGACAGCTGATATAAGAGAGGAGCATCTGCCTTCTACTTCCTGCACCATGAGACAAGGACACAACTATTCCTGTACAATTACAATATTAAATTACTCCTTTTGGCTTATCTACACTTCTTCTCAGTGTCACTGGGAAAAGCCAGTTCTTTCCTAACATAAAAACAGCTGGATGAAGTCATGTGGTCAGAGCCATAGAGTCATTTCTCTACAAAGGGATGAAAGAAGGAGACAAAGGCAGGCTCTTGGAAAATGTTATGGAAATGTCAGGGGCTGTCACAGTCCCACCTGGCCCATAGCAGTGGTGGGAGAAATGGTGCTCACACGAGT